GGGAGCAGCCAGATTTGGGCTGAAGACTATAATTTGCTGACCCCTGATTTAGCATATTGCATTTGAGGTTCATTTGTGTTGCTGTGTGTAGCAGTAGCTTGTTCTCTATTCTTTCTTTCTTTCTTTCCTTTTTTTTTTTTGAGACGGAGTTTCGCTCTGTGGCCCAGACTGCAGTGCAGTGGTGCAATCTCGGCTCACTGCAAGCTCCGCCTCCCGGGTTTACGCCATTCTCCTGCCTCAGCCTCCCGAGTAGCTGGGATTACAGGCGCCCGCCACTATGCTTGGCTAATTTTTTTGTAGTTTTAGTAGAGATGGGGTTTCACCATGTTAGCCAGGATGGTCTCGATCTCCTGACCTGGTGATCCGCCCACCTTGGCCTCCCGAAGTGCTGGGATTACAGGCGTGAGCCACCGTGCCTGGCCGCTTGTTCTCTTTTATTTCTGTTTATTATTCCATTGCATATACAGTTTGTTTAGTCATTCACCGGGTGAAGGATATTTTAGTTGTTTTTTTTTTCCCAGTTGAGGACAATTATGAATAAAGTCATTTTATATATTTGCCTACAGGCTTCTGTGTGAACACAGATTTTCATTTCTTTTGGGCAGCTAACCAGCAGAGGGACTGCTTGGTTGTGTAGTATGTGTTTACCTTTATAAGACACTCCTGGCCGGGCATGGTGGGCCACACCTGTAATCCCGGCACTTTGGGAGGCTGAGGCCCGTGGATCACGAGGGCAGGAGTTCAAGACTAGCCTGACCAAGATAGTGAAACCCTGTCTCTACTAAAACTACAAAAATTAGCCAGGCGTGGTGGCAGGCACCTGTAATCCCAGCTACTCGGGAGGCTGAGGCAAGAGAATCGCTTGAACCCATGTGGCAGAGGTTGCAGTGAGCTGAGATCGTGACACTGCACTGCAGCCTGAGCGACAGAGTGAGACTCCATCTAAAAAAAAAAAGACATTCCCAAACTGTTTTCCAAAATAGCTGTTTAATTTTGTGTTTCTAAAGGCAGTATAAGAGTTTCAATTGTGTTGCATCCTCACCAGCACTTGGTGTTGCCCTCCCTACCTTTTTTTTTTTTTTTTTTTTTTTGAGACACAATATCCTCTGTCACCTAGGCTGGAGTGCAGGGGCGTGATCTCGGCTCACTGCAGCCTCCTTCTCCTGGGTTCAAGAGATCCTCCTGTCTCAGCCTCCTGAGTAGCTGGAACTATAGTCTTGTGCCGCCATGCCTGGCCAATTTTTGTATTTTTAGTAGAAATGGGGTTTTGCCACATTGGCCAGGCTGGTCTTGAACTCCTGACCTCAGGTGATCCTCCCAGTTCGGCCTCCCAAAGTGCTGCGAGTGAGCCACTGCACCTGGCCTTTTTTTTAAAATTTTAACCATTGTAAAAGACCATGAAGACTCTTGGAAACCTGAGTAAAGATATATTCAGTTGGAAGCTCTTGAAGAATTTTATACATGGAAATGACATTATTTGGGTTTTTAAATGATCACTCCAGTTGTAGTATAGAAAATGATATGGAAGGAGGCTGGATAAATGTGTGAAGGCCTTTGAGAGAATATCATGTTAGTACGGGGAGAGGGAAGATACCTTGATTTGAGAGGTAGCGGTGGAGATGAAGTGGCTAGATACGGAAATTTTTTAGAAGGTGGAATTGATAAACTCAGTGATTGAGCAGATACAGGACTTAAGAGACTGAGAGCTCTCAAGGTTGTTTGCACATTTCTGGCACAAGCAACTACATGTATAATGACACCCTTACTGAGATTGGGAACACTGATGGAGAAAAAGGTTTGAGGAGATAAAGTAATTGGGCCAATTTTGAGATATATGTAAGACATCCAAATGGAGGTCTCAAGTAGGCAGTGTGAAATCTTGGTTCCTGAATGGTGGAACAAAATTATACATTATTGTAATATAAAAGATATTTGATGATATGGGGTACATAAGATTCTCTCTCTCTCTCTCTCTCTCTCTCTCTCTCTCTCTGTTGAGTTTAGTGATCTGAGGAGAGTGAATTGGATAGACCTAAGAGGAAATTTGGTGTTTAATTTTGGGCAGTAGAGTGACATACAAAGGAAGCTAAGAGAGAGTGGTTCAGAGAGGCTGGAGATAGAGAGAGTTGTCCCCCAGATGCCCAGGTGAGTGAACGATCATTTGTGCATTTATTGGATTTGGTGGCACAGTTGGCATTTAGTCAGTTTTATGGTTGTTGGTAGTGGTTGGGTGTATGTGAAAATTCAGATTAGGGTGAGTATGAGGAGTAAGGAGTGAGGCAGTAGAAAAAAACAAGATTTACATGTCTTTCGGGAATTTTTAGGATGGTTAGAGATATATGTAAGAGGTGTTTATTATCGTTGAGACTGAGATAGGTTAGAGCTTGTTGATGAGAAGGACAAGGGGAGGAGTGAATACAGAAGAAACAGTGTTAATGGAATGAGATCCTTACACACTAGTGATGCCTTTCAGATCTAGCAAACTTGATGAAGGAGAAACTCAGTCAAGATTAATGTTCACAGTTAGAGTAGTATAGGGGACTTTTAGTATTACCAAGTTCTAATGAACTATATCATAATATGGTCTTTAAACTTATTTCTCAAGTATTTCTCGAAAACTTACCAAGCAGAAAATGTCAGCAATCTTTTTGATGTGTGAAAATGCTCTGGCGGTTTAGTCACTTGTCAGTCTCATGTCCAAGTCCTACCCATCTGTCATGGCGCAATTGAAACCCTCAAATGAAAGACACTCTCTCCCTCATCTGAATGGCCATAGCCTGGTGTGTTTTTCCCTCAAGTGTGGCATTTATTCTTTCTATGTACTTGTTATTTATATGTATATGTGTGTGTGTGTATAGTGTGTGTATATAGTGTGTGTGTATGTATATGTGTATGTGTGTGTGTGTGTGTGTGTATATATATATATATATTTTTTTTTTCTCATTAGATGATGGAAGGCAAAGACCATAATTGAAATACGTTATGTTCTCTGTAGTACCTACTGGTTACATTTATTTAGTTAACAAACTAAATGTATATAAAGGTGAAAATGGGGACATTGTTATTAGCAGATAATTAAAAGAAGCTATATGAAAAATACGATTTTTGTGGTTTGGTGTCAGAATTTGTAGCCTAATAATAACTTTTTGTTTTTATGAAATTTAGTAAAACATGTTTTGAAAGTTCCTAATTATATGTGACTAAAAGATCAAATTATTTAACAGAGTGATAACAGCAGCAACTCTGGTGGTTTCTTTGTCATTTATCAATGACTTTCAGATTATTATTCCATTCAGACTGAGGATAATCCAAAGATACAACGAGAAATCACAGGGGTTTTTATCATCATTTTACAAGTGAAGAAACCAGAGATAATGAGTCAACAGTTACATTGCTGGCAACCGAGTGCTAAAACCCAGGCTGGGACCCTCTGACCCTAATCTGGGTTTCTTTCAATTTACCCAATGGCTTCTAGATTTACTTTCATAGAAATCCAATTGGCCTGATAATAATTAAATGCAACTGCAGGGGGTAAGTGGGTTTCTTCTATTTGAATGAATTTTAAAAATCCCTTTTTTTGGGTGATGAGGATAATCTCTTGGTAACACCTGAGGTTCCCTCCTCTTGTACATGCTTTGGCCTGTTGGCCTAGAGCTTGATATGGGGCTCCTGCAGCAGAATGGGAAAAACACCACTATCATGGATTGCAATGATGCTGTGATTTGAAGAAAATAAAATGGAAGTCACGTATCTCTGGAATACTAATAGAGCATTGCTGGCCAGTACCGTTTACTATAGTGAACAAACCTAGTATTAGCATTTTGGGAAAAAAAACAGACAGCATTTTCCTGGGTTTTTGACTCTGCCTTCTGGCAACGACTGATTTTTAAAGTCCACAATCATTTTTGATTTAGGATGATAAGCTACATTCTTTAAAAAGCTAGAAATATGGAAGGTCATTATTTTTTAGGAGGACTATGTCAAGGCCTTTAATTCTATTATAGTTGAAGTTCTATAAAAACTGTAATAATGGGCTGGGTGCGGTGGCTCATACCTGTCATCTCAGCACTTTGGAAGGCTGAGGCAGATGCATTGCTTGATTCCAGGAGTTTGAGACCACGCTGGGCAACATGGTAAAACCCCATCTCTGCAAAAAATACAAAAATTAGCTAAGTATGGTGGCGCACACCTGTAGTCCCAGCTACTCCGTAGGCTGAGGTAGCAGAATCACCTGAGCCTGGGGAGGCTGAGGTTGCAGTAAGCTGTGATAGTGCCACCGCACCCTAGGCTGGGCAACAGAATGAAGCCCCATATTAAAAAAAATCCAACATCATAGTATATTTATATTACATTCAATATATAAAATCTATAGTTTTATATTAAAATAATATGGAAGTCTTTGACTACATTTTTCTGAAAAATATAATTCTCATTAAACATAGCTTATTATTTAGTACCTTCTGTTAAATAAAGTCTTTTTAATTGTACTGACTTTAACTTATATGCCCCCAAACTCTATAATATATTTTTGTCAGGAGAACTGAGGAATGAAGAATGTGTACTTCTAAGAAAGTGTGGAAAGACATGAAGTCCTTTTTCCTCCTTCTTCACCACTTTAAAATGTTATCTGAATGAATTGCTAGTACTGGGTAAAAAAATCTCCTTATGTTCCCTTTAAATTGCCTTAAATAAGGTATTTGGGAATTGCTATACAGTGTTGTGAATAATTGAACTTGGCCATATATGAAGCAGTTGAGATATTGAATCTGAAACCAGGTGTCCTATGGCTAAATAGTTGTGATTCATGAGAAGACATACACTGAGAAATTTAAGGATTGTTTTCCTCCAAGGCAATTGATCTTGTAACTCTATGTAGACTGTGGACTCTCTCTAGCTCTTATATTCCTTATTTCTATTAGAAATCTCCTTTTAGTATATTGTAAAATTTGTTAAATTGACATTCCAAATGGACAACTGAATATGATCTGCTTTTACATCAGATGAACCTGGCCTATGTTAAAGCGGCAGACTACATTTCAGAACCAGTTAACAGGGAGCCTCCTTCCAGGGAAGCTCAGCTACTAACTTTGCAAAATACATCTGAATTTGATATCCTTGTTATTGGAGGAGGAGCAACAGGAAGTGGCTGTGCGCTAGATGCTGTCACCAGAGGTAAGTCTTTTTTTTTTTTAATTTTAATTTTAAGTTCTGGGGTACATGTGCAGGATGTGCAGGTTTGTTACATAGGTAAGCGTGTGCCATGGTGGTTTGCTGCACCTGTCAACCCATTACCTAGGTACAAACCCAGCATGCATAGCTATTTATCCTGATGCTCTCCCTCCCCCTGCCCCACTCCAAAGGCCCCAGTGTGTGTTGTTCCCCTCCATGTGTCCATGTGTTCCCATTGTTTAGCTCAGAGGTAAGTCTTGATGTGGATAACACTTCATCCTTTCTCCTCAGCATAAATACACAATATGCACTCTATAATAGTGAGGCCACATTTCTGTTTGTGTTTCCAGATTTTCCATCCTTAATGAAGTACTTTCACAGTTCTTGAAATATAGGCACTGCACAACTTTAAAATGAAATATAACTCATTTCACTTCAATGAATTTATTTAAAAAGAAAACTTTATATTTTATGAATTTATTAATTTGATGTTCTGGTTTTTTTTAGTACATATTTATATTTATATAAAATAAAAACATTTTTATGTCACTTGAAATCACGTATCAGTCAATGGTAGAAAAATTTATTAAACTGAAATAATTTATTAAAATAATTATCTTTGTTCATGTATCTCTTAAAACTATCTCTTCCAGTGAAATATGGACTGCAGTTTGCAAAACTTTAGTTCATGTGAATAAATAATGGAAAATATTGCTAATCTATAGTTCTGGCTCGGTCATTCTGTTAGTGGAAAGACATGATGAAAATGGAAACATGACATGTAATGAAAGAAGTTTTAGTATAGAGCACCAATGCTCTTGGATATGTTATATTAAATAAAATACTATGTTTGTTTTGCCTATGGGTATTAGCGTGGAATTTGGAGTCAGGGAAATCTGGGTACTTATCCTGGCTTAACTTCTTTAACAGATGTGTGTGTGTTGGGGGGTGGGGGGCAAAGGACTTAATTTGTCTAAGGTTCCTTGCCTTTCACATGAGGAAAAAATACCTTCTCTGAATGATTGTTGTGAGAATTACATGTTAATCATGAAGAGATTTAGAACGGTGCTTGTCACACAAAGTAGAAGCTCAGTAAATTATAGATAGTATTATAGCTGCTATTACTAACATGAATGTAAAAGACTTTCAGAACCAATTGTCCTGGAGAAGGACTCCATTGCAGTATCTTCAGATGTCTCGAATTGGGTAGGATACTGCTGCAAGGAATTTTGACTGTGGATTATTTTGGTTTCTATATAAAGTTTAATATTTATTATATTTTAACACTCAATAGTAATGACTTATTAGATGGAATAATTCTTCTCAGATCAATTAAATTACTACTACAGCCACTCTTGATTTAGTTACTTTATGTACCTGGCAGAATCTACTCTTATGGAAATGAAATGAATTTAATGAGGTCTACATACACACACACAAAAGTACCCTAGATAACTGATTTCGCAGGACCCACACTTAGGTTTTGGTCCATGAAAACTTCACAGCCTAAGTCGTTTTTGTCAATGCTAAATAATGGCAAGTTCAAAATATAGGCACAGGAAGTCTACTGTGTTACAAAGTTGACCCCAATTTTCATAAAATTTTCTGTCTCCAAGAATGAAATATAATTTGAGCCCAATTAACCTTGATACACTAAGGCCTAAAGGAAGAACAGTTTGAGAATAGTTTTTGAGAATAGATAATTTGAATTCAGCTTTTTTCCCCCTGAAGGCCTGGGAAAGAAGGTGGAAAGAGGGGACACATTCCCAACATAATAGGAGGTCTTGTTTGGAACTACCCCTCCTAGAAATTAGAATTTACTTAGTGATAATTTTCTATATCAAAGAGGATCATTTCCCCAGTAGGATTCAGGAAAGTATGTTTCTTGGTATCTGCAGGCATTTTCATGCTATGTACTAAAATGTATAGCCATTCTTTTTAGTTTTATAAATATATGCTGAGTGCCTGCTGTATGCATGGCGATATGCAAGGTGCTACATGAGCGTACAAAGATGATTGATAGAGTTGGTACCACTAGGGCGCCCACAGTTCTATAGTGCTTGTTTGCATAGACCAGATTATGTGATAGAGAATATGTGAGCCTTTTAAAAGGCTCAGGGTCATTATGGACACTGAAAGATGAGGGTAGTCATATCTACATAGAATGGTCAGGAATGGAAAACTTTACTTATGCTATTTGGCATAGGTAACATTTTAATAGGCAAACATTGCTTGCTCAAAGTGTTCCAGTCTGAGAAAATGTACAGGAGGAACAGCATGGAATCAGTGTATGTGGGAGACAGCCTGTGTTGTAATTTGGAGCATTGAGGCTATATATGAGAGAACATGAGAGAAGAGTGGAAAGGCAGGGCTGGGTCTGGTATGCTAGGAGAAAGCCTTTGGGCTTTATTGAATAGACCACTTGGAGATACTGCCTTAGGTTTGGTGATGGGGAATGGATAGACGATACTGAAGGAACAGTCATGAGCATAGGCTTTCAAGAGATGTGGAGAAAAAGAAAATAGAAGGGAGGTAACTTGATGGTGTGGTAGGATATAAAGAAGGGAGACTATGTTTCAAGGATTTCTTTCCTTTTTTCTTTTTATAAAGAGTAATCTGAGTATTTCTGTAGACTCAGAGAAAAAAAGTCAGTGCTGGGGGAGAACCTTAATATGTAAGTATTAGGTTGGTGCAAAAGTAATTGCAGCTTTTGTCATTACTTTTAAATGTCATGTACCTACCTAATAGTAGAAGGCAATCATAAGGAACAAGGTCTCATGAAAATACAGGGAAAGAGATATCAGAGATGTATCTTGGTTTTAGCAGGAAGGTAAGAAACTTGTTTCTCAGGGACAGAAACAAAGGGTAAATTCTAAGACATAAAGAGTTTGTGTGAGTATGAAGAGCTATTCTTAAACAAATACAAGGTGAGATGTTCTACTTATGGGTGGGAGTAAGGGATGTCATTGCAGAGAATATGATAGGAAAATAGGGGTTTCTTTGCTGTGGTTAGAAAATGTAAATTTATTATCCACATGGTACCTTTGTGTGTGTGTGTGTGTGTGTGTGTGTGTGTGCGCGCGCGTGCGTGCGCACGCATGTGTGTCCAGTATTACTGAGCGTAGAGGTACAGAAATAGACAGTCACATTGAATCTAGAGTTGAGAATTGACTGGATATCAATGATAAAAAGAAAAAATGAGACAAGATTCTATGAAAGCAGAGGAAATTGTTTAAATGTAGGCCTGGAGCTGATAAGGGATCATGAAGTTACAAAGCTAGGCTTCCCTGGAAGAGTTAAAGGTCAGATTGCAGGACTTCAAGTGCAATAATAATAAGGCAATCACTAAGTGACTTTTATTCTTTTTCACCTTCTGAAAAGTCTTACTATGTTTGCCTTTGTGCACTTTGTATATTTATATATTTTTAAAGAATAGACAAGATTGTATTTCTTTTTGCAGTGTGTTTCTTTCAAATAGTAGTGTATTTATATCAGTCTTTACATGTATATAGTATTCATGATTTTTAATGGCAAAATTCCATTTTATTTATTTTCATTTAATAATTTTATGGAAGAACTCATTGCAATGATGTTCTTATTAATTATTCTTTAGGTTGTTTTTGGGTGGTTTTTTTTTTTTCTATTTAAAACAATACTATTTTTCAATCAAGTCCTGAACCAACTCTGAGAATAGTAAGACTGGTAAGATGTGGCCTTGATTTCAAGGAACAACTTAGCAGTTTATTACTATTTATTGAACAAATAAACTTTTTCTTCTGGCAGTGAAGGGCATTCCGTAGTGATCAAGGTATTAGCTAGTATATTAGCAGATGACTGTGGGTGGTGATACTCATGGTGGTGATGATAAGGATGACGATTTTGAATAGATAAGCGTTTCCAGAGCCTGAAAGTTGATCAGGTTTTTAATTTTTACAGTTAGTAATAGCTAAGAAGATGGTGTATTTTTAATATATCTTGACATATTAATTGCGATCTTAAAATAATTGCCTGTCTTATTTTATATATGTGGAATTATGATTTATAAAAAGGATGGGCAAACCTTAGCTTGTATTTCTTTTATTATGCTGGTAGCCCTCTGGGGGTAGTGTTTATAATTAAAATTTATAAAGAGATGACTGAAGGTAATCTATATTTATCCTTTTACTACAATTCCTGATCATATCAGTGGCCCTCTGAAGTGTGAAATAATCATGGGCATTTGGTTAATGAATTGTGCATTGTTGCTGTTCATTCATGGAATTTGCTCTTTTATTATATTTAATGCTTCACTTAACAACAAATTTTGCTTTCTCTGCATTTGATATGTTTTTACCAAATTATTCCTGATTGTATCCATTAATCTTTAGTCACATTTGACAAAAATAAATTACTGTGATCTTTTAAAGTTACCAGTAATAATTAGATTTTTCAGGACATCAAAGTTTTGGGAGGAACTACTAGATGTTAAAGGACTTGTACAAAAATGTTTGCATGAGCTTTTTGATAAAATACTGTGCCCAAATGCAACTTTAGTAATGGATAAACCAAGACTAAAGAGGAAAGACAAAAAGTCATGGAGTCTTCATAATGAACATTTGTTTGCATTCTTATCATCTGCATTTTCTTGGGAATCAATTTTCTTTTGTTTCATTTGGGAATATTATTTTATAAACACAGTATGCAGACTTCTCACGTTCTCCTGCAGGTCTCTAGGATCAATAGAAATTGCTTCACTCTTTAACACCTCTGTGTCCCATTCTAGGACACAAGCATGTCCCAAAAGCCCAGTTGTGGACACTTTGCTCCCAAAGGGAGCTGGAAAAGGAGAATCTGATAAATATATTCACTCCCTCAGGTTCTTCAAGGTGTTCTCTTTAGCTTTTTATGTTCTTTTATGTAACTTTACCTGTATGTATCTGGGATTACCTAGTACATTTTTGGTTTAAAATCTGATGTATTTGCATTCTTGGGTGGGCCTGTAGAAAATAAAATAAAATAAGATC